AGAAAGCAAATGTTTTGAGAATGATGATGGCAACAAATGTACAAATGTGCTTGACACAATGGATGCATGTATGGATTGTGATAAGAGTTGTACGATCCCCCAATAAAATGATATTTTTTAAAATTCTGGAAATACAATGATGGCTCACTTATTCTTCTGCAGTATTGCCTGGGGGCCACTTATATGAAATAAATTTACTTTCATAGATATGAGGGAATAAAGTTCAACTCACTTCCAGGCAAGATAGTAAACACAAAAGAGCTAAAGTGCAAAATGGTAAATCAGCCTGGGGTACGGGCTTCCTTCCCTGAAAGCAGCCCTGGAGCAACAGGAAAGCGTAGAGAAGAGGAAATAATAGCAATATTTTTTTTAAAAGATCACAAGAGACCTCTGGTGAGATTGCCGTTCAAGTGACATTGGCTCTAAGTGTGGGGTTGGGGGTGAGCAGGGCTGGCTCAGCTTACAATACTTGGTAGCAAGATGGGCAATGAGAAGAGATGTCTTTCATGGTCTTTCTTCTCACCTCACCTTGGGATAAATACTACCTGCCTTTCTCCTCAGAAATCAGCTATTGTCGCTGGTGTGCCTGTAGTACTAACACCCAGAAGCAGTCACTAAGGCCCCACCCCACCATACACACATCACACTACACTTCAAAATCATACAAGTTTGCACCCATGCATGAGGGCACCCCCACATGTAAGTGTGTGTGTGCGTGTGCACGTGCATGTACACACACACACACACACACACACACACCAGACTTATTTTATTGATCAGGGAAGCCAATTGAGTAGTATGCCCTAAGCATTGTTCTGGGCATGGGGCAAAGACTATTAATTCAACAAGGTCCCTGTTCTCTAAGAAACAGTGAGAAACTTCAAGAGTCAGAAACAGACAAGTAAATGAAACAATTTTAGGTTTGGAGAGTGCTGAGAAGAAACACAGGACAGAAGAATGTGTGGATGGGGTCACTAGGTGGCACAAACAGCTAAGTGCTCATTTACTAGCTGTAAGGGTGCTGGTCTGAAGCGCACAGCGGTGCCTCGGAAGACAGGCCTGGAGCGCTGCTTCCGAAAGCTCACAGTCTTGGAAACCCATGGAACGGTTCTCATCTGCGGACCTAGGAGGGCCATGAGCCAGAGTCACTGCTACACAACTAGAGCAGCAACATGTGGATGGATAGTACTCCTTCAGCAGAGTACAAAAGGCCTTTTAGAGAAGATAACATTTAGCGAAACTCAGACAAAAATCCAGCTTTCTAAATATTACCTACCTCCCTTTAATAACCTCCACACAACATTCACTGATTAAACCTGTGACCCCAACACCGGATCCAAAGGGCCCCTCTAGATCTTCCACCACTCTCCTGTTTTACTCACCATAACAGGTGCCCAAGCACTGCTCTCATGGGACCCCATCATTGGCCGCCACCACCACTACCACCACCAAAGCTGCTTAAAGAAACCTCATCACGAACCCCCAAAGGATCCCCGATTGTTAATCCCGCAGGGTTCCCAGGACTCAGCCCCATGGTACCACATTTTCTGAAGTACCCCTCTCAAACTCATCGTTGCCCACAGCTTCGTAAACATCTCCCTGAAAGCACCTCGGCTCTTCAAACACTGACACTGAAGACCACCGCCGACTCCTACCAAAAGGCCTCCAGTCACTATGCCACTTGTAGGAAACTAACCCTGAGGGAAACAGGACAAGGACTCTCTGCCCTTACTTATTACAGAGGGAAGCTGGAAAGCTGGTATTCCATGGGAGGAAAGCATCCACTTTGGTAAGTTAGGGGTAAGTCCAAATACATTATCCTGCTTCAAAAGTCATTCCCACAGATTCTCCCCTTAACAGCTAGGCTGCCTTCAAGTGAGCACATGGTTGATTCATTATTCTTTTGCTCTCTCTTCCCGCAGTGACATCCAACTTCCCTGGTACCTTCCCCCAATGCAGGTATTTATAGGTGAAGGCTTGCTCTCACTTCTCCCAGTTCATCGTGGTCCATCAAGAGGAGATGGGGTGAGCATGCTACCATAAAATGTGTCTGACTCCTTAATTTTATTCTCTTTCCTATCTATCATTTATGACTTTACTATATCTTTATATGTTATCGCTGTACGTTTGCCCCTTCGGGCCCTTCGGTTGTTGGAGGCTGGTTTCCTCTGACAGCCACTGTCCACACAATCACCACTCCAACAAACCAGCTATTTCTATCCCAGACATCTTTGCCCTAACCCACACACAGTTCCCCAATCTCTGATGCTTCTATTTCAGGACCCCCAAACAAGGCCTAGAGAGGAACCCTGACTATTAATTCTAGGCATGCCAGTCAGTCACTTGTAACTTTTATGTTCCCCCGCAAAAGAAATTCCCCCAAAGGCCCTGTCATTCATGCCCCCAAACCACAACCAAAAAACCCACTGCAATGGAATTGATTCCATGGAGGAGCCTTATAGGACAGAGTAGAACTGCCCCATCGAGTTTCCAAGGCTGGAATCCTTACAAATCTGGATCACAGTTGAACTCTTGTAAGTTTCCTTTAGTAGCCTGGCGCTGTAACCGCTTGCACCTGTAGGGGTCTTTTTTTTACCTCTACAATAGCCTCCAATGATTATCCCAAAGGTATACAATTCATTGGTCATCAGAGTCTTAAGTAATCATACAAACAAACCTTCATCATGAAATACACACTAATTTGTCTTCAAGACCCCTGATCAGCCCAGGCCCAAGCCCTCACCAAGGGCAGCATGACTTCATTATTCCTAACCCCTGACCTTCGTACCTTCAACATTCAGTTACTAAACTCCACAAAACAGCAAAATTGGAAACCCCCAAATGCCCCAGAGGTCCCCAAATCAACCAATTTTTCTCCTCTGCCCTCACAACCACTAAACGCTGCCAAGCACCAACTTACACTAAATTTTACAGACATTCCAATAACTATCCGTCAGAAGTTTCCAAAGCAATCCGTTCCACAAGTCACCTCCATAGACAGCTCCATCGTCACTCACCCACGATCCAGCCCCGCCCGCTTGCCCGTCGCTCCTCATCCGAGTGCCCGCCTCGTCCTCTACCACTGGGCCCCTCGGTCACCCTTTCAGGCCCAGAGACCACGGATGCACTACGAGGCGCCAGACTCTGCAGTGAACCAGACAACCGCCTGGATCACCGCGGGACTCTATCGGGAAGAGAAGTCGCCCTGGACCACACAGCCTGGCCGCCCACCGCCCACACCCCACACCCTTACGCAAGTGGCACCGCGGCGCAAGGTGGATGCGGCCCGACTGATGAACTACATTTCCCAGAGTCCCCCGCGACCTAGCACGGCACTTCCCAGAGGCCTCCGCGCCACCCCGTCGTAAATGCCGCCTGTTTCCACAGTCCCCTGAAGTGAGGTTCCGGTTCCACTGGTTTGTTGGTTGCACTTGGGTTCTGTGAAACATATGAATGGATACATCTACATGAACAAAATTGAATTTTCTCAGGATTGAGTTTCTTTTGTTAAAGCAAGGATAGGCGTGTAAGAGGTGCTGGCGTCCTGTTTTTAGATGTTTCCCATTGGGGGCGAGAAAACGATCCAGTTCGAAGAGCTTTCTAGGAATTGTAGGTCCAGCCAGTCACAGACCAGCGCAGGTGCTCTTCCAGCCCACAGTGCGCATCCCCATGCCTGTGCTTGCCGGTTGCCAGGCTACCGGATGCCCCTATTAGAATAAAGTAACCAGTCGTCCCGATTTTTAACAATTTTTCCCACGCCCCGCAGCGTTTTTAAAAAGTCCCGATTTTTTGAAAGAATGCACGACAAGCTAGGGTATACGGTTTTCGGCTGCCACGTGGCTATTTCGCCGGGATATGAGTTTTATCAATGGTGTCCCGCTTTTGTCCCGCTTTACCAATGTTAAAATCTGGTCACCTTACATTAGGAGTCCTGTGTAAGAGCTTTCCCGCTGGTTACCTGCACCCTGCCGTTTATCCAGGCGCCGGTCCTTACAAGTGCAGCGCTACTGTTGCCATGCGACTTAGGGAACCCGAGGCAGGTGTGGGAGTGCTGGCGTGTCGCACGACATTCCCTTGCCTGGGTCGCTCTTCTCTTGCGTCTGGTTGATGGCACCTTTGACGTGTGCAGTCAATGGCAGGTTTCTTTCTGCCTCCTAACTCATTCTGTTCTCTCTCTGCTTGGCCTCTTTCTGACTGCTTTTCCCTAAGGAAGGGTCCCAGCGTTATACTTATCCAAAAGTGCAATGTTGCATTTCTTTCGGAATGCCTTTTCTTTAAGGGAATTGGTACTGGCAGCCAGGCACCATCTAGTTCTTTTGGCTTAGGGTCATGGTGGCTGATGTTTCCTTGGTCCATTAGTCCATTGGACAACATGCATCGATAACTTTCACCACTCTTCTTTCCTCCAAATAGGACAGACCTTAGATGGTCACTCACCAAAGCAGAATGTAGAACATTGTCTTTGTGGATGATGCTATGCCAGTTGACCTTCGTGTTCTTGGAGACCAGAGTCCTCAGCCCCTAGGCTCCATGATTCATTACTTCAAGGTGTTTGGTTATATCGAAGTTTTCATAACTCTGTCCTCAAGGGTATAATCTTGAAATATTTTCTGGAATGGCACAGGATGGCCCTGGGAACTTATTATAAACAAGTTTTAAGAAATTTGAAAACTGCAATGTTGAGAAAAAGACCAGGAAAACAGCACTAACATTTTTTTCTATCATGGCAATGCTCAATCATGAGTAGCAGGGGCTTTTCTACAAGAATTTCATTGGGAAACTTTACTCCATCCCCCCTACAACTCTGACACTGCCCCTCAAGATTTCTTTTTGTTTCTAAAACTCAAAGAAGATTTTAAAGGAACACTATGAATGTCCCTGGAAGATACCAACAATGCTGTTTTGACATGGTGTCAATTTAAGAGTACAGAATTCTTCAGGGAATTGTAGAGATGGAAACATCATCTTCAGAAGCATATAGATTTATATGGAGGACAATCATTTCATGATTGGATATTTAGTTTAATAAAGTTTCCTGGTTTTGTAGCAATACTTCTTGACTTATCCTTGTATGTTCTATAGAACTTTCGAGGTTGTAAGTTATTTCTGTATCATGATATAACATGAGCGGTCAAATTGGCGACCCACGGCTGCAGAGGTAATTTTTTGTGGCCCACGATGCTCTGAAATAAAATGAAAATAGAAAAAATTGTTATGAAGAAAACCACTTAGGGGATATCAAGGCAATGCCATACACACAATATTCCCTCATTAACCCTTTAACTACTGAAGACAAGTGAAATCACAAAATCAAAGTTGCTCATTTTAATTGAGTTTGACAACCCTGTGATACAACATTGTACATCATACATCCATATAGCATTCTAATATATGGATGTGTAACTTTTAAGTTGTTTTAAACTTTCTCATATTCCACATCCAGTCCATTAGTAGATCTTACTGGCTTTGCCTTCTTAGTACAGGCATACCTGGTGCTATTGCAGGTTCAGTCCCAGACCACTTGCAATAAAGTAACCACTGCAATAAAGCAAGCCCCTTGAATTTGCTGGTTTCTAGCTTATATAAAAGTTATGTTTCGAATATACTGTTGACTAGGAAGTGTGCAGTAGCCTGATAAGAAAGTTGAAATATTGTAAGATGCTTAGATTGTGACCCAGACACATGGGATACATGCTGTTGGAAAAATGGTTCCAGTAGACTTCCTCAATGCAGTATCTGTGTAAAAAAAAAAAAAAAAAGGAAAAGAAAGCAGTATCTATAAAAGGCAATTAAGCAAAGCTGAACAAAGGTGCTTGTATATGGTTGCTCTAATTCCACCTCTCATCTTCCACTAAGTGCCCCTCTCTCCACGTCAGCCTCCACTATCTGGATTACAGTTGCCTCCTAAATCAACTCATAGGACTTGCTCTTCTTCCCTTCTCCCACCTCCCAGTCAAAACATGGTACTGTTAGTTAGGGTCTAACTAGGAAAATATGAATTTGTTACGAAGGTGTTAGAAGGGCTAGAGGAAGAAAGGGCAGATTAAGCAAAGTAGAGCAGGGGGAATAGAAGCAGGAATTTGAGGTACTTAGTTTAAAACCTGTTACTCTGCACCTCTGGCTGCACTGCCAGAGTTGCTGGAGCTAGAACGACTGAAGAGGTGCTGTCCCTGCCAGGCTGCTGGAGTCTACCACACTCCCAAGCTCTAGGAGTGGCCAGCAGTTACCAGCAAAGTCTTCTGCTGTCACAGCCGAAAGTAGAGAGCTGCTTTCCCTACCACCTTTTTATATCCTACGAGAACCTTCCACAGGGAAGCTACCTGGTGAGGAGCTTCACAGAATCTGTAAGATTGAGTAGGGAGCTAAGAAATGGTAGTGCAATAACTGGCACACGGCTCTTCTCTCAGAACCCTTAAGCTCAGTAATAGTAGTGCCGCAGCATAGACTACATGGCCCTGTATGACCTGGGCCCAGTTCTGCCTCCACTCATAACTTTTCCTAGTGTCCCCTTTGCTTATTCTGTACCAGCTACATGAGTCTCCACTTGCCTTTGACTATGACATGGATGCTCTGTTTCAGGACATTTGAACATACTTCTGCATTGCCAAACATGCCCTTCCCCCAGGTAACCACAGGGTTCAACCCTTTACATTCTTCAGGGCTTTTCTCAAAAAGAAACTCTGGGGAAGAATTGGGGTAAGTGTTGGAGCACAGCAAGGAAGTCCTGAGAGAACGCCAGGAATATACTTTGGTGCCAGGGGGACAAAAGGAAATAGAGGAATGAACTAGGAGACAAAGGGTATTTATAAAGATCTAAATACAGGCATGTACACATGTAAATATATTTATATATGAGCATGGGGAAATAGATCTATGTGTATATATTTATAGGTTTAGTATTAAGGTAGCAGATGGACATTGGGCCTCCATTCAAGTATTCCCTCGATGCGAGAACACTTTGTTCTATTAAACTGGCATTCCATGATGCTTACCTTCCCAACACAATCGCTGAAGACAAAGTGGGTGCATAAGCAAATGTGGTGATGAAAGCTGATTGTGCCCGACTATCAAAAGAGATAGCGTCTGGGGTCTTAAAGGCTTGAAGATAAATAAGCGGCCAGCTACATGAAAACCCACATGGAAGAAGCATACCAGCTTGTGTGATCACAAGGTGTTGATGGGCCCAGGTATCAGGCATCAAAGAACAAAAAAATCATATCATTGTGAATGAGGAGGATTGTGGAGTGGCGACCCAAAGCCCATCTGTAGGTAACTGAACATCCCCTTACAGAAGGGTCATGGGGAGGAGGCGAGCAAGTCAGGGTGCAGTGTAACCACCGTTGAAACACACAACTTTCCTCTAGTTCTTAAATGCTTCACCACCAACACCACCACTATCATGATCCCAATTCTACCTTACAAATCAAGCTAGACCAGAGGATGTACACTGGTACAGCTAGGAACTGGAAACACAAGTAATCCAGGACAGATGAACCACTCAGGACCAGTGGTGAGAGTAGCGATACTGGGAGAGTGGAGGGAAGGTGGGGTAGAAAGGGGGAACCAATTACAAGGATCTACATATAACCCCTTTCCTGGGGGACAGACAACAGAAAAGTGAGTAAAGGAAGACATTGGACAAAGTAAGACATGGCAAAGTAATAATAATTTATAAATTATCAAGGGTTCATGACGGAGGGGGAGCAAGGAGGGAGGGGAGCAAATGAGGAGCTGATACCAAGGGCTCAAGTAGAAAGTAAATGTTTTGAGAATGATGATGGCAACAAATATACAAATGTGCTTGACACAATAGATGGATGGATTATGCTAAGAGTTGTAAAAGCCCCCAATAAAATGATTTTTTTAAATGTGCTGAAAAACTCGGCTTATTCCCAAGTAGACTTGGTATGTTTGGTAAGATATTGCCAACTTCTGTTCCATGGGGGCTGCACCATGCTGCGTCCTTACCCGCGATATATGACGGTCTTTTTCACTGTAGTCTCTCCAAGAGTGTAAAAGCATGTCAAACTTTGCCAAACGGATAGTTGACAAATGGCCCTTCAATGTAATTTAACCTTGAGATTATTTTATTATGAATGAAGGCAAGTATCTCTTCATAAATTTATGTATATTTTCTGTAATACACAAATCTGACTGGGTTAGCCCACTTTTGCTTTTCTTTTTCTATGTCTTTAAGTTTTCTAGGTTGTTGGTTTGAAGTTATCTTATATTCTCTTATAATTTTGTTGTAAGATATGCATATATAAATTCTTTTA